TAAAAAATTTTGCTTTTCCTTCTACACTGAAGTCCTGGTTTTCATTCTCCCCCTCCCAACCCTCTTGTGCTGAGCTGTCTGTATTAATTCTTTTTAATTCATTCACTTAACATGACATATATAATACAAATATTTCTATATAGCCCCTGCATGTGTTTGCCAGGTAAGGCATACAGTATAAAGGAAAAGTGGACTATTTCTTATGACATCCCCTAAGATGGAGATTATGTTCATTAATAAAATCATGTAAACATATTTAAAAATAAAAAGGAACGCTAATCCAAGCCTTTGCAAGCCTTCTCATAAAGTACAACACGAAACTTCCCAACTCCCCTTTTAAGATGCTCAAAACCTGCTTTGTCAGCAGATCCCATAAATAAATGCCCCTGCAGCACATTTTGGAGGTCAGCAGGCAGAGACTATTTTAGGTCTGAGAGAAATACTTCTACAGATGAAAAGCCATCCTTAATGATTGTCACCTTCTCCATTTCTCTGTACTTAAGAGGGGAACGCAGCTCCCATGCTTTTGCTAACGGTGAACATACATACCATCATGGTCTGGAGGAGCTCAGTCTGTGGGCAAAAGAGCAAAACCTATGCGTGCAGTTTGGATACGAATGCCGATTATCTAAGTCACCGTATCTTGTACAGAGAAACACCACACCACGGGGAGTCTGTTGTCATCCTGCGTTCCTGGACTGAGCTAAACAGTGTTTCGTCCACCCACCATCGCAAAAACCCACTCCTTGGGCAGGATCAGAAGTAGGATCAGTGTAACTGCAAGAAGAGTTTTGTTCCATGACAGCTATAGGTATAGATGTCTGCTCTACGTACTGAATACAAGAGCTTGTTTTAAGTCAGGTTTAATCCCCTCACTGTTTATGCTAATCCTTTCCTGTCTTTCATAATGTTCCCACAGACCACTCCAGGGTGTTTTCTGACATTGAAAAAGTCTTAACTTTGCAGCTTTATGGTTTGACAGACTACTGTGAAGCTACCTTCATCTTTTCTTTTCTAATGGATACATTCTGTTAAATAAGCGAGGCGGGGGGGGGGGGGGACAGCGCA